ATGTGTGCAAAAATAAAAAAAATTAAAAAAAAATGTTACCTTGTTTTATAAAGTATCCTCCCGACAAGTATTTCAGTGCGGACCTGTATTTGATCGTGCGGTCTTGGAGCACCGGCATGCCCTCCCCTGTGAGGTCTTAAGTCACCTGATTCACGGGCCCTTTGTACTACATTAACAAAGGCACAAGGGGTTGGTTGCACTCGATTGGGAAACCGATCCGCATAAATCCGTGATGCCGCGTAAATGAGAATCATGTCCACAAGTTCAGCATTTTCGTAAACATGTGCCATTTTTGATTTCGTTTGAGCCACGCAACAGACACCACTATTCACTCACGCGTTACCGACTGACACTGACATCGTTCCAAATTCTTTCGCTTTTTTGTTTCCGATGCGATGAACCGATAAGGCGGATTATATCCGTTGTTGCGAAACACGAGCACATAATATTATTATTGAGACAGGGCGGTACTCAAATTTCCAAGGGGCTATAACTTTGTTACTTTAATTTTACCAGAAAAATGGTAAAGGAAAAAACATTTCTTTTGATCAGATCTACTCACTGTTAAAATAAATGACTCAACTTCGAAGTCACCCTGTATAAAACGTTTGTGATATTAATTACTTTTAAAGTGATCTGCACATCTGCAGTGTTGCCGAACCGGCAAAAAAGCGGAATCGGTAAATAGTGTCTGTCGTTGAATTCGGTATAAGGAAAATGCCGTCCGAAGATCAGTGGTAGATCAAGGACGTCTGAGTCATGAAAAACGTCTGTTATTGTATTGGGCGCGCACACAACATGTTTTTTGAGGGCATAGTTATATATTACAACTTCTACAATATGCATACTGATCGCTCTTTCAAAGTACTTTGCAACCATTCTGAAAACTCCTTTTTCGATTCTTGCTTATAGGATTGTGAATATTTTTCTGTTTTACCCATGAACTCATGAACTCACCTCTCATTTTAATTAAATATTTTTTTTGAAAACAGGGGATGAGGATGTGCGATCGTAATCATAGGCAACCCAAGTCTACGCCTCTCATGTGCCCGACTGCCTGAGTCTGTATGCATATGTATGATTGATATGGGGCATAAAACTATGAAGACTACATAAAATTAACTTTTAGCCTTATTTTTGGTTTCAGCTCTTTTTCGAAGTATACAAATTTTTAAATAATTTTGAAAAATTTTGGAGAATGATGTTATCGGTAAATATTCTCTTTTCGGTAAAAATACCGAAAAATCCGGCTCAAGTCCATGCATAGACAATTTGCAATATGAATTTATATTCTAAATTCTATGCATGTCCGTTCATATTCGCCAATATTTCATTTGACCCTTTTATTTGTCATAAGATTTTAGCAAAATGTAAGATATTAAAGGCAACACCGCACCCTGCAGCCCAGTTGACAAGAACGACAAGCTGTAAAGATGCAGGATGTTTAGATCCACGGAAAGAATCGATATGTATCGATTCTTATCGTTTTAGGAAGTATCGATACTCTAGCATACTCCACTGGGACCAAGGGTTGACGGATCCCACACATGTGTCACTCGTTGGGGAGTTTTGAAATGTAATAATCAGCTGTTCTTCAAATAATGCCTAATATACATATAACCTAGAATGTGTACTCAGTGAAACAAGAAAGTTATTGCAAATTCTATTTTTTTTTTGCAGGTTTTAAGTTTGCTTTACGACATATATTTGAGTATTTCTTAATCGCTGTAAATATAGTGTGGATGGATGTTTGTTCAGTTCCTGAACAATGAAAAATATTCAACTTTATGCATGTATGGATATCAAAAAACCTGAATGGTTTTGTGATAATATCAATCTAAGGTGCCATAATGGTTCTGATGTATGGCAAGTAAATGAATGAATGTTTGGAAACGAACAATATCTACGAAATTTTTGGCAGAGTCTGTCATCAAGTAGGTGTTTAATGGCTATCTGCAAGAGGTTTATAGGAAAAAAAACATGGGAGGTAATGCTAAATCAGTAAAATCGTATATCAATTGAAGAAAATAATATAAACATGAATAAAAAATCATCAATAATAATTAAAACATGAATTTAATTCAAAAATCAAACGTTTCTTTAAATTTTGACTGAATTGTATGCAATTTCTTAATATTCAATAGCTGGTGATGGTTCAAGGATAAGCTGTCATCTCATACTTTGACGATATTTTGTTTTCAACATTTCATAGGTAGTGGTTGCTGAAATTTGTTGATTGGATGTTGAATCTCATTCGCTGTATTTGACGGACTGTTACCCTATAGGTGGAGAATAACGGACTGTTAATTTGACAACCTTGGTGAAATACACCCTAAATCTATGTGTGCCATGGTAATTTCAAAAACGGAAAATAATACTTCTTGTCAATGGAAATCCCCAACACCATACTCGACTACGATCTTCGTATAGACCTTTATAGTTCAAATTTATCGAATTGACCTTGACAACCCTATGAAACTGGTTGATAGACTTCAATTTATAATGTGAATACTTCTGACAGGCTACCGTGAAATGAACACTCACGTTAAACAGCAATTTAATATTTTTTTTTGCAAACATATATTCCCTGCCGAAAGGAATAAATAGGTAAGCAAACCCAATGGAGATTAGATCTTCCTATTGTGCTCCTGAGCATAATAGCTGGTATTTGCGAAAAGGGATTTGACTCATTCATGGGCCCTTCGCAGGGCGGTATCCCTCCAAGTCTCTCGTACAACTAATGGCAATTGTATAGTAGATGGTACGCCGTAGTAATTTGGGTGCATGTATAGACCAGTCGAATTAGTAGTATAATCATATTAGACGAAAATAATTTGTTAAGTCTGGTTTTATTGCTGCAAGTTGTTCAAATTTGCTAAAAATAAAAATATTGGGAATTATTTGACGAAGATGTTTGAAAAGATCAATGTTGCATTACAAGCAACATTAGCCCTGTACAATAATCGTTTGGTGTGAAGGAAAATGCAAAGGACCATGTGTCGAATTATACCAAGTGACATATAAATCCGAACACCCAGTTTAAATGGTTTTATTTTAATAAAAGTTGGTGAATGTATTTATCTTACTGTAAATAACAAGTGAAACAATTTTCAGCCTTATCAGTTGGACATTCCGGTTTTTATACTGCTTTTTTTTATTTCACTAACGCTCTAAAAATGAATATTTCAGCCGCAGTAAAGAATCAACGTTGGCGGATTTTGGTTCTTGACATCCTTTACGATCGGTTACGATGCCTAGAGTACGGAGACCTGTACGATTTCGTCAACTTAGTGAGTTTGATAGGGGCCGTATAGTGGGACTTCGGGAAGCTGGACTTTCTTTTCGGGCAATTGCAGTTAGAGTGCAAAAAAGTGTAGACACTGTGGTTAGGTGTTCTCAGGCATGGCTTCGAGAAGACCGTACGCAAAGAGCAAGGGGCACTGGACGCCGCCGTAGAACAACAGACCGTGAAGATCGCCGCCTAAGATTATTGGCCTTAAGGGACCGTTTCTCCACTACCAGGTCCATTGCAAATGAATGGTTTGCAGAACACGGAAGACCTATTGGCATGCGAAGTGTTTACCGACGAATGAGAAGTTTTGGCTTGTTTTCATACCGGCCCCACTGGGTCCTCCCTCTAACTCGAGAACACCGACGTAATCGCCTTGAGTGGTGCAGACAACGGTCACTCTGGGATCTGTCTTTAGTGACGAGTCTCGATTTTGTTTAGGCATGCACGATGGTCGTGCCAAGGTTAGAAGGCGACGTGGTGAAAGGAGGAATCCACAGTTTTTTGTTGAAAGACATGTTCATCACACTGTTGGAGTTACGGTTTGGGGTGCTATAGCTTATGGTTCCAGGTCACCTTTAATCTTCATCAGAGGTAACATGAACGCGCAGCGTTATATCCACGAAGTTCTAGAACCCCATCTTTTACCCTATCTTGACACCCTGGCAGATCCAACTTTCCAACAAGATAATGCCCGACCACATGTTGCAATAGTCACAATAGACTTCTTTCAACATAATGATGTCACATTGTTACCATGGCCACCAAGATCTCCCGACTTATCCCCAATTGAGCACGTGTGGGATATGATGGGTAGGAGATTGCTCAGACTCTAGAAGCACTTCGAGAGGAGTTGGTGGTTGCCTGGAATGAGATACCACAGGAGGACATTGACCACCTGATCAGAAGCATGCCTAGGCGCGTTGGAGAATGCGTAGCACATCAGGGTGGATCCACACATTATTAAATGTCAAAGAGCTTTAAAGCAGTGCAATCATTTTGAAATTTTTATCATTTACTTATTATGCTTCATTAAGTACTTATACAAAATTTTATTAAAATAAAACCATTTAAACTTCGTGTTCGGATTTATATGTCACTTAGTATATTTGACGAAGATGTTTGAAAAGATCAATGTTGCATTACAAGCAACATTAGCCCTGCACAATAATCGTTTGGTGTGAAGGAAAATGCAAAGAACCATCTGTCGAATTGTGTGCGATTATGCAACATGCCGAAATAAAAGTTTCGTTGTAATGGAAGATCCTCAAGTTTTTCTTTCCGACATTGTTATGCTTTCAGTTTGGCTAAAAATTGGCTGGCTGAAATATTAATGAGTGTGAGACAAATCTACTAGCGGTACATCTCATGTCCTTACTTTTGCCATTTTCTCTGTTTCGTAGGTCAAAATTTTCTTACAGTAGTCGTGTAAAAAGCCCTTCCATGTTTCCCATATGCTTAGGATTCACCTTGTATCATGCGATTGCCATAAGTAAAAATCTCACAGCGCCAAAGATATCGCTGCTCTTTGTAAAACTACATAACTGTTACATATCACAGTAATCACAAAATAATGAGATCAAAATAAAAACATTTCTTAAAAATAAGTAAATGAACATGCAATCGCTTGGTTGAACAGAGAATCTTAAACTTGAGATTTCAGTCGAAGGTACAGGATCTGGTAATTTGTTCGATGACGACGATGTGGAAAGCCGCTCAGTCACTGATAAAGTCAGAGGACCTAGGAATATAAATGTGCTGTGGGCGTCAGTGGTATTTGGCCAGAAGAATTTGTTCCTTTTTTCGATGCGGCCAACATACCAGCCTTCCTCTCCGATGAAACTGGCAAAGTCTGAGAGGAATACTTCGAGGTTGAGGAGACGCGGCCGTTATTGTGGAAGAGGGTAGCTGTTCTGTAGTCTTTTCAACAACATCTATGTTTTCTTCTACTTCTTCATCTTGTTCTGTATTGAGCTATCATTACCTTTTAAATCCCAATCGCCGGCTGACTCACCATCAGTGCTGTCGTCGGAAGATATTTCTTCCTCAGTACTATTGGAGTTTTACCCTTTTAGCCAGCTTAGGTGGCTGATTATGTTTCTCAACTTCTTTGTGGCTGACTTTTGCAGATGCAGCTACAAAAATGGTGCAAGAATAAAAAACACGTTTCGCGCGCTTCGTGAACATTTCGGTCGCAACAATCGCCCAAACGAAACAACCATCGGTCGTCTGGTGCGTAAATTCGAGGCAACAGGTTCTGTGGCAAATCTGCCAGGCTCTGGCCGGCCAAGGAGCGTTCGCACACCGGAAAATATTGCTGTTGTGAAGGAGAGTGTGAGAGACGATCCGAAACAATCAACAACGCGTCGATCCCAAGAATTGGGCATTTCGAGAACCAGTTTGCTCCGCATTCTCCACAAGGATTTGAATGTACACGCCTACAAGATCCAATTGACGCAAGAGCTGCGTCGGGCCGACCATTTTTCGCGCCGAACGTTCTCAGATTGTCTCCTTGAACACCGCCAAATTGATGCCAATTTTTCATCAAAAATCATGTTCAGCGACGAAGCGCATTTCACTTTGAATGGGACGGTAAACAAGCAAAACTGCCGCATCTGGGCGAACGAAAATCCCCGTGAGTATCAAGAGCAGCCGATGCATCCTCAAAAAGTGACTGTGTGGTGTGCATTGTGGTCAAAAGGCATCATCGGACCTTACTTTTTCGAAAATGCCGGGGACGCCGTTACCGTCAATTCTGAGCGATATCACGTGATGATAGAGGACTATTTTTTGCCGCGACTTGAAGGAATGGTTATGGACGATGTTTATTTCCAACAAGACGGTGCAACATGCCACACAACCAACGTCAATATCTATCGATTGCAGTCCTTCTTCGGTGATCGCGTGATTTCGCGCAGAGGAAATGTGCCATGGCCACCAAGATCGTGCGATTTGACTCCCTTGGACTTCTTTTTATGGGGATATTTGAAAAGCAAAGTCTACGTCAACAAACCAGCCACCCTCCAAGAACTCAAAAACAACATCATTGCCGAGATAAATGCCATAGAACCGACCATGTTGAAAAATGTCATTGAAAATTTCGACCATCGCGTGGACGTCTGTAAATCCAGTCGTGATGAACATTTGAGCGATATTATTTTTCAGACATAAATGGTATAAATGAACCTTCAAAATAAAGTACCCAACTTGATTTGAATATCAATGTATCTTGTTTTAATATGCGTTTACTTTCCTGCATCCGTTTTGGACAACCCCATATATAGAAGACTTCTATGTTCTCCCGGTTCAAACTAAAACTTTGTAGGATCCAAGTAGAATCCGAAAAAGTCCTCAGGTTCATCCTCGGAAATCACGAAAGGCATTACTTCTCTAGTAAACTTTTCAATTTCCACGATATCTTTGTCCGACAGCTCAGATAGTAACCAGTCATTATCGAATACATTCATTTTCAAAACCCTTTTTATAGATTCTCGAATGGTTATTTTTATCTCGCTTTCTAGTTCTTCGAAGTAATCTATTTTAGATTCCATTTTATTCTGATATGCATGCAGCAAACCATATAAATTTGACGTCTAGTGAGACGCGCTAAAAGTGAGATTATGTATAAGTCGGAAACTACGCATGCGCTGAACGGTCACGTGGCTTATTTTAACTATGATACTTCCCGGTCAGCCTTGAACATCCTCGTATATCCGAGGACATCCCAGAAAATACCAGAACATCCCCAAATATCCAGGGACATCATAAGACATTCCAGGGTTTGTACACCAGACATCCGCAGCGGTTTACCCCCCGGTCTGGAGTAAATCTGTTTCAATGGCTTCCTCGATCTCCAGACCTTTCCCCCATCGAACATGATGGGAAGAAGGCTGCAAAACTCACCGCACCCTCCGCAAACATTGGAAGTTCAAAGAAAGTTCAGATGCCATTGGATACAATACACCAATCACCTAATCCAATCAATGCTGCGATGACTTAGCGAATAGAGGAGCTTTAATACATTATTAACATTAAGCTATTTTGCGAAATTTCGAATTAAAATTTCAATCACATTCTATTTATCAGTAGACCTAAAACTTGTAAAAGTATGCTCAAAAGGCACTCCTAGTCAGAGGTATGGTATTTATAGGTCTACCGATTCTGTAGGGATGATTTTTATAGCGCCTGCAGCTTGCGAAAAGTTAGTGATCAACAGTGATAAATAATATAAATAAACAAATAGCGTTTATTGCCCAACAGTTAAGGAAACCATTTACAGGACAATCCTAAGATAAACCAAAATAACAAAACAGAAAACACATAAAAAGCAGGTGATTTCATCTAAAGAAAAAAACAGACAAGAAAAGGAAGCAAAAAAAAACATATTTCACTCAGGGGAGTAACATATGATAAATTATCCAAGCAATTTCTAGCTACTCCCAGAATGCTGTTCAAACTGTCAGAATGTATATTACAATAATTTGATATTGCATTGAAAGTTTCACACATCACATATATGGGTGCCTTCAAAAACAAATTTGTGCGAGCCCTGTCACGATAAAATGTTTTACCTGTACGAGTTTGAATAGATGGAACATTAAAGTTTATTTGAGCCACAATCCCATTAGCATCAATTTGATTGTGTAGTAGTTTATGCAAGAACATAATTGATGCACACTTCCTTGTCAGTTTTAAAGACTGCATTTGAAACCTAGACAATAACAAACTTTCAGATATACCACGTTCAGGATATATACCGTCAACTTTAAAAGATAAAAATTTTAGAAACTTTCTCTGGACATGCTCAAGAGAATCAATGTAGCAGTTGTAAATTGGGTTCCAAATTAACGAAGCATATTCCAGTTTCGATCTAATATATGCAGAATACAAAACCAACAGTGACTCTGGGCGGCTAAAGTTTCTCACAATAAAACCGTACGCCCGCGAAGCTTCACTCACCTTTTGAGCTATGCGGAGTGAAAAAATAAATTTATGGTAAAAAACTACACCCAAATCCTTAATTGAGTTATAACGATTTATGTAAGCATCCCCAATTTTATAATTTACAAGCAGAAGTTTTCCTGGAAAAGCTGACTACACTACACTTAGACGCATTAAAAAATAAATTATTCTCGTCACACCAAGCCACTAGAGATTCAATATCACGTTGAAGTGCAATACAATCAGTCTCAGACTCAATAATCCTGAATAATGTTAAATCATCCGCAAACAGGAGCTTATTACAACTTAAATAATGCACAACATCATCCATAAATAAGGTAAACAATAAAGGACCAAGATTTGAACCCTGAGGCACTTCCGATTCAGTTACATACTGGTACGACTTGAATCCATTAAAAGAAACATATTGCTTCCTTTCATAAAGATAACTTTGAATGATTGCTAAAACTGATGAATGGAATCCATAACAAAAAAGTTTATTCAAAAGTATGCCATGGTCCACTCTATCGAACGCTTTAGTAAAATTGGTATACTACAACTATTTAAAACTGTAATGACTCATACGCGTGATCAACACGTGATCAGAGCTCGATCCCGGCTTCCTTCCAGTACAGCCGTATAGCGTACGACATATGTCGTTTCTGTGGCTTTACGGTGGTCAACAGCACAGACAGAGATGGAAATAATGGCTGATTGTACTCCGCCGGTAGAACCAATGAAATCAAAGACGCGCCTCGACCGGCAGACTCATAGGCGTCGGCAACGCATTGGAACGTGTTTCGTTGAGCGATCGCATATTGTGTGTTTTTATAAGAATTGTTGTGTGATTGTTGTTGTTGTGGTTTCTGTGGTTACTGTTTTGGTTATACTTAACCATTTGGAGTACAAATGGCACGAGTGGAAGTACTGAAAGCCAGGGAACAAGTAGACAGCTTCGTAAAGCACTGAAGAGGGACGCGAAAGAAATCGTGCTAAACGTGTTCAATTATCTGAACAGAACTATGTCGCAGGGAGATGCACTCGCGCGTTGTGAAAGTATGACAGGCGTTCCAGAGTGGACCATTCGCAGGGTGGTGCATGAAAAGAAGAAAACTGGAGCTACTACTGATCCAAAGTTTAATTTGAAGGGACGAAAGGCCTTTAAATTGGATGACGATAGCAAAATGGCGTTAAGGCGAACCGTACATTCATTCTTCTTTAGGAATGAGATACCAACCCTCAAGGCTGTACATGCAGCGATCAAGGAAAATGAAATTATACCACAAATGAGCGTCGAGGTAATGAGGAAATCCCTGCACGAAATTAATTTTCGTTACGAAACGCGTAATTGGAAGTCAGTATTGATAGAGAGACCTGAAATAGTCGCCTGGCGTCGAAAATACCTACGCGAAATGATTGAATATAGGCGACAAAGCAGAAAAATCTATTATTTGGACGAGACATGGGTAAATGCAGGTCACACAATTAAAAAACCTGGATAGACAAAAACGTAGTGAGTAACCGACAAGCAAACAGCTTCGAGAGCTGGTTTCAAGGGGTGCTTCAGCGAGTTGAGCCCAACTCTGTGATCGTCATGGATAATGCTTCCTACCATAGTCGTCGAGCCGAACGTGTACCGACTATGGGATCTCGAAAAAGTGACATGCAGCAATGGTTACGCGAAAAAGGAATCCTGTTTGACGATTCATGTGTGAAAGCGGAATTGTATGAAAAAATTAAACAGCACAAACCTGCGAACATTAGTTACGTGACTGATGAGATGGCCTTTCAATGTGGTGTCACTGTGCTGCGGTTACCGCCCTACCACTGTGAACTGAACCCAATAGAGCTCATCTGGGCTCAAGTGAAGGGTTATATTGCGCGCCATAACACAACCTTCAAATTACCAGACGTTAAGGTTTTACTTGAGACTTTCATAGAGCTAGTAACGCCCGAAGATTGGCAGAATGCTATCCGTCATGTTGTGAAGGAAGAAACAAAAATGTGGCAGCTTGACCACCACATCGACACCATCATAGAGCCAGTTATAGTCAATTTCAACGAGGAAAGCGATAGCGACAGTTTATTACTGTCAGATGTAAGTGGAAGCGACGATGAATAAAGGTAATTCCCAAATTTTTGACTTACAATATGTTTCAAACCACTCCTTATTAAGCATGTGACAAATCTAGTTCA